CCCGCGCGCAGAGACTCGGCGATCGTTAACGCGTAGTACCACGGCCATTGTGCTAAAAGAATCCACGACGCTCGGATAGTGAACGCTGAGGACCGGGGACGTGTAGTTTTTCCAAGTTTTTCCTCCTGTGATATTTAGATTGTGCCAATATAGGTGAGTAATCTCTTAAAAAGCATCATCTCTTTCACATATTAGATTTGTTAGTTTCGCCGTTTGAAATTTAGTCCTTAGAATATGAGATATTGAGTGTGTGTGTGCGTGTGTGTGTGCTGTGTGTGTGTGTGTCTGTATGCGTGAGAGAGAATGAGTGAGGGTAGAAGGGTGGGAAGGAGGGAGAAAAATTTTTAAGGTTATTTCGAAGAGATTCGTGAAAAGCTCAAAGGGAGAAAATTGAGTCTCTTTGTTCCGCCATGGCGATTACGATCGTTTCAAATTCGACGTTTTCATACCCATCCAGAGTATTATCAATTTAGATTCCTCGTTCGTTCTCTTCTTGGTTTTCTTTATGCGAAAGGAAAAAAAGATGATTCGTAGGACGCTTAAAATGAATGGTTTCTTATATCGTTATTAGGTACTTAGAATAGGTTCAGATTTTCCGGCACGTTTTACGGAGTTTTCGCCATTTTGTCACGAACGAGTCCGCATTGTCGGCCATTACGTACGTATGTCTCAGGTCCCGATCCAGGGACGGACACACGATTTGTCTCGTCGAATACATAGACGTTCTTACTTTTTTATTGCCTATTATTTTACCGGTATCTCTTCTCGTGATTCTTGGCTTAACGTTCTTTGCATGCTTCCTTCGTTCTTATCTTCGTAACATTCGTTTCCTACTCGATTCGATAAACTAACGTTTAAGTGAGCATAAAAAAGAAATAAAGAAAAATAAAAAGCAGAAATATGTTAATATGGAATGATATTGCAGGTAGATTATAATCTAACGAAAAGATATAGGTTAGCGCGTCCATATTTTTACATATGCTTATGTATATATATATATACACGCACACGTACGATGCATATTTTTATTGGAATATGAAAATAATAAAGTTTTTTTTTTTTAAATGATTAATAAGTTTTACGAAAGCATCATGAAAGGACAAAAAACTGGAAAAAGAAATAAGGAAAAAAGAAATGAAGTGAAAGACAAAAAGGACGTTGACGTAAACACATGCCGGTTTTTTTTTTCTACAAGATAAATATTTTTCCTATTCGATAATATGTTTCTCATAAACTTATTCGTATAGATCGAAGAGAAAAGGTCGATATATATATACACATATATACATATTATGATATATTATTTCTGTCTAATAAAATATTCATATATGCTTGTGTATATATTATATATGTATATATTTTAGATGTGTGAATTTAATTGAAAAGGAACGCGCGCGTCCTCCATGGGACAAGAAGAAAAAGAAACAGTTGCGTTGATATCGTAGTTACATTTTTCTTTTTTCTTTCTTTTTTTTTTTTTTTTATTGTTTTTTTCTTTTTTCTCTCTTCTTTCTTTTCGTTTCTTCTTTTTTTTTCCTTTTCTCTTGAGATGTAAAGCGCGCATGCTCTAGAAGGTTTCCTTCTTTCCTCGTCTTTCATCCCCTCGTTCCGCTGTTCCTCTCGAGTCTCCCACCATTGAAAATCCTAGTCAGAGTGAGAGAGAGGAAGATATATAGATAGATAGAGATAGAAAGAAAGAAAGAGAGAGACGAAGAACGAGACTTGCGCTCTCTGACGGGCGTCGCGAGAGTGACCGAGCAACCGTGTGCCGCGCCATTGTTGAAAAGGGCAGCGCTGGAGACGCACGCCGTGGCTCGGACGTCCGCTCACGGAGTTTTTTCCCCACTTTTCACCGATCCCCCGATTGCTGTGATATTAGATTCTTTTTTATACACCCTATATTAGGTGAGTGCCAATATAAAAGAAACAAGTTCGATCTAATAACAACGGATCAGTGATAATCTAATCGAACATATATCTATATATATATATAAATGTTCATGTATATATATATATGTGTATATATATATATGTATATCTTCATATATATGTACATATGTATGTATATATATATATCAAGTGGATAAATATATCTGTGCGTTAAGAATATCACTTTTGGAGAAGAAAATTCCGGAAAATCTTTCTCGGGACCGGCTGACATGGCGCGGGCGTTTCCCCTCCGCGTTCGGTTCGTTTACTATCGTACGTAACGACTATAAGATTAACTTGACGATAAATCGTATTAATTCTTTTTTAATCTTTATATATATACATAGAACGTGATACTTTGCGAACGGGATCGTTCAATGGGACCTAAGCGTTCGCGCTTTTCCTTAAGAGCTTTTTACCCATCGCCATTTTGTCCGGGTGCTAGTTCGCCGTCGGCCATATTGCCATCCACGTCTCGTCACGTCTCTCTCTCTCTCTCTCTCTCTCTCTCACACACATTCTCTCTCATTCTCTCTCATTCTTTCTTTCGATCTCTTACTCTTACACATATATTCTCACACAAGTACGTATGCGTACACATATTCCTCTTTCTCTCTCTTTCTCTCACGCTCACGCTCTCACGTTTAACGAACATCTTTATTCTTTCTTTTCCTTTTCCGATCTTCCTTCTCTTTTCCTTTTACCGAGAAGACTTAGCTAAGAAATTGAACCTTAAAGGCGTGTCATGTTATTCTCTGGCGTGTATACGCGAACTACCAAGCGCACGATATAAGATCGAACGAAATTATTTGTCAACAATTTGTTTTCCTTTCACGCACGTTGCACCGGGGCGCCGTCCTGACGTAACAACGCGACTCCGGCAGCAGATAACAATATAAATAGATTACGCAATCGGACAGTCGCTCTCTAACTCTTTTTCTTTTTCTCTTCGTCGTCGCATCTTTCTTTTTATTCGTTCGTATCGTTCGTTTGTGTGTGAGGTTTCAACAACGTATCGTTCGTCTCTCTCTCTCTCTCTCTCTCTCTCTCTCTCTCTCTTTCCACCTCCACCTCCTTCACCTCCTCCACACCTCTTCTCCGTTCCACTTCCACCCCTCTCATCTCGTGCGGATTACCCGCGTTTCTCGACTCTGCGCATGTGAGAAGAGAGGGCAGGATCGATTTGCCGCTTTATTGCGCGTCTCTCTGATGTAAATCCCGGTGACGTAAATCAGCTTGTTCTCTCGTCTCGTCTCGTCTCGTTTCGTTTCGTTTCGTTGCGCCACGATACAGCACGCTCTCTCTCTCTCTCTCTCACTCTTCTCTTTCTCTCTTTCCTCTCCTCTTTATCTATCTATCTTTTTCTTCTTCCCTCTCCTTCTACCGTATTTTTTATTCTCTTTAAATCGTCCCTCTACTATATACGGATTTCATTAACTCGAGCCTCAGGCGCCATGGCAACTTCTAGTCGTATATTATCAATCTATGTTGTTGGCTCGTCGTTCGTGATTTTCCTGATTATCTTCAAAGATTTTACGTCTAATCTATAAAAAAAAAAAAAAAAAAAAAAAAAAAAAAAAAAAAAAAAAAAAAAAAAAAATCAGAAAAAAATTTAGGTTAGACTGCGATATTCATTCAGTTCTTTCTTTCTCATTTTCTTTCACAAAATTCATAAAACCTTTTCTCGCGTCTATCAATTTTTTTTTTATAAATATGAATGCATACATATACAACGAATGATTAATCAATCAATCTCTCTCCCCCTCCCTCCCCCCTCTCTCCCTCATTCCGAGTGATCATTCGAACAATTTCATTACTATATGAAAGAAAATGAAAGAAGAGAAAAGATAGTAAAAAAGAAAAAATAAAAAGTGGAAGGAAGGAAAATTTTTTTTCCGGGGCCTAGAGAATCGAGCAAACGCCCCTGGGTCCCAGGGGGCCTCGAGACGACGCGCAAGTCGTGCGCAGAAGTCGACTTTCTTTTGTGCGCATGCGCGGTGCTTGCGCGTCCTCCTGCATCATCCCCACTACCAAGTTGCACGGTTATACCGTTACGAGAGGGACACGCACAAAGGAAAAGGCCCAGGAGAGAGAGACCGTTCCAAGCGACGCGCTTGCATCACACGGCCATTTTGGAAGCTTCGGTGCTTCGTTCCGGAGCTTTCGAGACCGCGCGGTCGTGCGTGCTTGGTGTGTTCCATCGAAAGAGCAGGCGGTGCACGGAAAGGAAGGGACACGCAAGAAAGAGACTGAAACGAGGATAGATAGATATAGAGATAGAGACCGCGACAGTTAGAATATAGATGGATAGAGACGGACAGATAGATATAGATATATATACATATACAGATAGATAGACAAATAGAAACGTGGTGCCGTAAGTGCGTTGTGCCCTCTTCGACGGTTCGATGTACGATTTAATTGTTAAACGTGGAAAGTATAGATAGTATCGGGCGTGATCGGTCAATATCGTATTTCGTCTTCCGTCATTTCGATTACGGGTTCGCAACGCACCCAGGGAGAGACGCGCACGCGCGCGTACGCACACACTCACTCATACACATGAGACTTCGTCAGCATCAATATTCTCAACACGACAAACCTGATCGATCAACCAACAATAGCCGTTTGTGGTTCTCTTTTAATTTCGCAGAAACGAGGAAACGATACCAGAGAACATGGAGGATGACCAGCAGTTCTGCCTTAAATGGAACAATCATCAGAGCACACTGATACAAAATTTCGACACGCTTTATGAAAGCGGTACGCTGGTCGACTGCACGTTGGCAGCGGAGGGGAAATACCTAAAGGCCCACAGGGTAGTCCTCTCCGCGTGCAGTCCATATTTTGAGGTGAGTTTTTTTTTTTCTTCCTCATCACTTTACGTAATCGCTTGTTTTTCTTTGTTTTGTTTTGTTTTTTTCCTTATTTACATGCGCATGTATGTATATATAAACACAATATTCCAATGCGAACATAATACGTACTTACGTACGTGTCTTATGGTTGCGTGACATCTTAGAATACATACGTATATATTTATGTGTGTGAATTTCGATTTTGTTTGGTTATTTAATGGGACAACCTTTTTCACGTTAATATTATATTAAGTTATGATAAAATAATTCAATGGCTTCAAATATATTTTTTTTCTTACCTCTTTTGTTTTCTTTTTTTTCAATGGATTAGAAATATTATAATGCAGAATGGATCATTGTGTCGTTTATGGTTTCGCTCTTTTTTTTTTATTGTTTTCCTTTTTTCTCATTGTCTCTCTCTCTCTCTTTCTCTTTCTCTCTCTGTCCGGAGTCAGATCAATACCAAATACATGGGTGAGAGAGAGAAAGATAGAGGGGGTTAGCGTGAGAGGGAGAAGGGACGAAAGGGGTTTGTCTACCGAGCGCGCTCGTAGGGGAAAGGGGGCTCATGTTGAAACAAGATGGCCGCTCTGCTGTACTTGCTGCTTCTCTCTCTCTCTATCTCTCTCTTTCTCTCTCTCTCTCTCTCTCTCTCTCTCTCTCTCTCTCTTTCTCTCTCTCTCTCCCTCCCTCCCAGTGGGAGAGAGCGAGAAGCAAGAGCCAGACATATACTCCCTCTCCCCTCCTTGCTCTTGATCAATACAGAGAAAGCAAGATGGCTGCTTTCCAGGGCACTTCCCTGGGATTTTACCCTGAACTCATTGGTAGTTGGGGCAGGGGTAGAAGGGTGGGTTTAGGGAGCGGGATCTGTTTCGTATATCGATTGAAATTTAAACTAAATTTACATTAACATTGTAGTATGACTTAACAATCAATTGCATATATATATATGTATGTATATATAGTTTAATATCAAGTATTTTCATTATAAGACATGCGCATCTAATTCCTATTTTTTATTTATTTATTTATTTATTTTTCTTTTTTTTTTTTTTTTTTTTTGTTTAAAATCTTCTATTATTTTCTTTTTCCATTGAAAAATGTTATTCCTGATCGTAGGAAGATAATTTTTTTGCTAAAGTAATACAGGACGGACCTGAGAAAATGTCTGTATTCCTGAATTTTTAAAGACGATTGCTCCTTTTTGTAGATTTCTTAAGCTTAGGCTTTTTGCAAGTATAACTTTAAATATATAGTTTTACGATACAACGAGGAAGAACAATAAAAATTTTGCATAAAATATATCTCGGAATAGGGTAATTGGATTTTTAATATCATTCAGGAGGAACTTTTGGTTCAGCCTGTAATGATTTATGAATTTTTATGTAATTCCTCCATTTATATATGTGTATATATATATATATATATGTTATATAATGTTTGGCTTACAGAGAATTAACACATACGCATATACGCATGTTTATCTTGGATCAATTTAGATTATTTGTTACGATATGATTATAACGAATATTTTGATTTGATTTCAGGGCCTCCTCAGCGAGCACTATGATAAGCACCCTGTATTCATACTCAAAGATGTAAAATTTAAAGAATTGAAGGCGATGATGGATTATATGTACAGGGGAGAAGTGAATATCTCCCAAGACCAACTAACGGCACTCCTTAAGGCTGCCGAGTCATTACAAATTAAGGGCCTTTCGGAAAGTAAAACGGGCGGTGGTAACAATAAAACAGTTTCGAGGGTATCTAAAGTCGCGCCACAGCCGAGGTCATCGCCGTTAAACATTTCCTACGCGTCTTCCGGTCTCACCATTGAAAGGAACAGAGTTCCTAGACAGGCACAAAGTTCTATAGGGGATTTGCCCGAAGACTCGCACAGTCCCCAAATACCTAAGGAGCTTTCTTCGAGGTAAGAGATATATATATATATTTCTTGTGATAATGCCTGTCGTAAAAATAAAATTAATTGAAATAATATAATAAAACAATAATTATGTTGTGGAATTTTCCAAGTATTTTTATTGTTTTTTTTTCTCTCTCTCTCTCTCTCTCTATACGAATATTATATTAATTTACAGGGAGGGCTCGCAAAGTCCAACATCAAAGAAAAGAAGAAGACTTAGAAGAAGAAGCGTCGGTGAAGATAATTCCGTAGAAAATCACGAAGCATCGAATTCAAGCGATATACCTCAACAAATGGGCGTGCCGGCACTTGCGATAGCACCTGTCGCGGACGAAAAAACGAACGCTGATCCCACGGACTCCCTCGGCAGGTCAGCTTTAATGACGCAGCTGACGAAACCTGCCGATGAGATGCTTCAGGTTAGAGAGAGAAGATCAATTCTCCTAACTTTACCTTTCTTTTGTTTTTCATTTTTTTTTCTTCTCTTTTTCTGTGCAAGTACAAGATGATCGCAAGAACTCCTTCTATAGGTGGTTCAAAAGCGTTACTAGCTGATTCTGTAGAAATCAATTGCTCTCTTTTTTTTTTCGAGATCTTTCACGCTTGTAATTTTATGATTTGAAAAAAATATAGAAGAAAAGAAAAGGGAAAAACAAAAATAATTCTGAAGACCTGGAAAAATTGATTTTTATGATCATCCAAGAATTTTTGACTCGCTTAGAAAATTTTGATCTTTCCACCCTATAATATATCGATCATTGAAAAAAAAAAAAAAAAAAAAAAAAAAAAAAGAAGAAAAAGTAAAGAACGAATATATAATATTAAACTCATTTATTGTTGCCAACGTATAATGGAACTTGAATTATATTAATATTCAATTTCTTTCGCGCGTTGGCATATTAAACTTCGTACTTTATCCTGCTGCCTGTTAGCCTCACACACATGCTCTCGCAGAGGGGAAACGGTGCGATACAATTTTCGCTATACTTTCTACAATTTTTCTTATCGTTCTTGTTGTTATTATTATTATTATTCTCATTGTCGTATTATTTGTTTAGTTTAAATACGAGGTGTATTAACGTTGAATTGTAATTTATCCTTAGATACCACTCGAAAATCCCGAGCCAAATGATAATCTCATCGAGCCAAAGTCCGAGTATTTGGAGGACCAAGAAGAAAGCGTTGAGGATCTGACCCTAGATGATGATATGAATGATTTGAATGAAATTGAGCAGGATACGAATAGGGCCGGGCCGTCCCATGACAACTCTCAACATCCTGGTAAGCCATCAGAATTATATTAATTAATTAATTTATTATTTATTTTACTTATTTATTTATTCAAATTAATTTTTGTTGTTCTTCTACCACCCTTTCCCTCATCATTCTTGATTCTAATCCTGGGTTTTGATGACCGTAGTCAAATGCATGTGGTTTAACAAACGTCGAGTCGTCTATATCTATTTCTAAAAACAAAAACAAAAACGAAAAAAAGAAAAAAATATATAAAAAAAAGAGAAAATAAAAAGAAACGGTAGTAATAATTTAGCTTAGCTTTTACGTAGACGCGAGCATTTATATATATATATATATATATATATATATATATATATATATTCGGTGGATGGTAGAAATATTTAAAGAGAGGGTCTCGCACAGAACAGGCCACTTGCCTATATATACGTATATATGTATAATTTTATATATATATATATATATATATATATATATATATATATATATATGGAGAGAGAAATGCATATAAAAATCAGCGAATCTTCTATCCAAAAAGAGTCCTTGGATAGAAGCGGAGCTTCTACACGAATTGGAATTCTAAGTTCCCAATTAGAATTCTTTATTAGGTGTTGTGTCAGACAATCTTCATGATTTTAGGATTTGGGACTCATTCTTTCTCTCTTTTTCTCTTTTTATCCATCTGTCTCTCTCTCTCTCTCTCTCTCTCTCTATCACATTCTCTTTCACTTTCTCTCTTTCTGTCTGTTTATTCTCAAATGATGATGATGATAATAATAATCGTCATTATTAATCATCATCGTCACTGTTACCATGATAGGGTCGATAAGAAAAAGCAAATCTGATTGATTGATTGATTGAATGAATGATTGAATGATTGATTAATTTGGTGTCGCGGTTCCTTTCGTTGTTATGTTTTCTTGGTATATCATTTAAAAAAAAAAAAAAAAGAACGGGATAAATTAGCCGACACACTAGCTTGGGTTTCCTCGTTGCAGGTGGGGGGGCGGGAGCGCGGTCTCGAGGGTCGAGAGGGAATGTAGGTGGTGTTGGTGTGGTCGTTGGTGTCGATGGTGGTGACGTCGTTGTTGGTGACGTCGTTGTTGGTGAGGACGTTGGTGGTGGTGGTGCCGCCCTTTGGGCGTCCCATTTCCTCGATTGTAAAAAAGTGCCGAACACGAGACGTCCTAGGCCAGAAGTTGACGTAGGCGCGTTGCTTAAGTCACTGGCTAACAAACAGGGGAGAAAGTATAGTTTAGATTCGGTTAAAATGTCATTGGAAGCTATATTGCAACAGGGCGTTAGCACCACTCAGGCATCCGAGATGTACGGGATCAATCGGTCGACCCTCCAATTCTATTTGAAAAAGTTGAACGTCGTCAGGAGGAGATGGAGACAACAGCCTAACACCTTGGTCCAGCCTAGACAATCTTAGTGTGTGTAGTATGTGTGTCCGTCGTCGTCGTCGTCGTTGTCGTCGTCGTCGTCCGTGCGTGTGCGTGTGCGTGTGTATGTGTCCTCCGTTGTGCGCTCCTCCGCGCGGCATATACGTAACATATATACGTGTCCATCAAAATCCGAAATCAATAAGATATATATGAAACGTGTATGAAATAAATAGGAAAAAGAAAGAGAAAGTAATAATATCCTTTTCGTCCGTGGACGCGAGATCATCGCGTGTTTTATGTTTATATAGATCATAGATTGTAAAAAAAAAAAAAAAAAAAAAAAAAAGAAAAAGGAAAAAAAAAAAAGAGAGCAAGTGACACGTTCGATGTGTACTTCGTTTTCTCTCTGACTGATGTTTTTGGGCTCTCAAATTCAAATCTTTTTTCATTCTATTTCTTCCTTCCTTCCTTCCTTTCTTTCTTTCTTTCTTTCTTTCTTTCTTTCTTTCTTTCATATTCTTCATTTTTGAGAACCCAAGCTTTCTTCAATGTGTGTGCATATTATGTGATAGTACATGTATATGTATATATAACATATACATATACAATATTTTCTCCTTAACCCCTTGACATATAATGACGTCTGGAAGACACGTCATTCATTTCATGTGTCATTGTAGACTTTGACGTCTTTGAGACGTCAGGAACGGCGTTACAGTACATTATTAATTTGTTTAATTATTTCACTGGTGTGTCAATTCTGTTTTATTTAAAATGTTCAATATGCTCTCCCTTCTCTCATTCTGAACAGTTATCGATAATAAAATAAATATTTTTCTAATGAAAGGATATAAAAAAAATCTTTTATATGCTTGATATAATAATAGCTATCTATCTATAATGCTTATGTTTTCTATTCTCTAAGTTACCTACTTCAACAAAACAGTTGATTGTGTAAATTTTCGACTCAATATTGCAGAAGATATGACATGTAATTTGTCTCTTCCTGATTATCCGATACATGGTAGACAGTCGCAAAATGACTGCAGACAAAACATTGGGCACATTTTCCTGAACATATACCTTCGACTAATAATAAAAAATATCCTACAAAGAGATGTCATGTCTGCGTAAAAAATAATATAAGAAGAGAAACAACTTGGCAGTGTAAAAAATGTTTAGTTCCTCTACATATTCCAAAATGTTTTAAAATGTTTCATACTTTACAGAATTATTAATTTGTTATTTTATAATATAACTTAATTATTATTCATTCAACCTGAATACGTTTTATATTAGCAATGCAAATCACAAAATATAATATGTTCTGTTTCTAAGAATAAAAATTTTTTTTTTCTTTTTTTTTTTTTTTTTTTTTTTTTTGAAGTTTTGCCCTCTTTTCTTCGAGTTCTGTTTCTAAGCTTGACAACATAACTGTGTTCAGTTAGGCCAAATTAAATAGTAATTTTCGGGCACGTCAAATTCCATTTTATTTGTATGTCAAGGGGTTAAGTTCGGCCTTATGTGGGTGTTTATCATCCCCTCCTTCCCTCCTACTCTCTCTTTCTCTCGCTCTTTCTATTAAGACACATAAACAGATGCACACACAGACACACGATCAAATCCAACACAAAGAGAAAAGAATATTTTCTAATTTCCACGCTTATTATAAGCAAGAGCATTGAAATTCTTTCAAAAGATAGATAGGAGGACATAAAAAGAAATAAGAAATAAAACTTTAATAAGAAGTATATTAACACATTGTTGAGATAAGACATCGGAGATTTAAATCTCTGCGTCTTTATTTTTTTAAGTCTCCTTTAAGCGGTTCAAAAGTTCCTTAGATTACGTGATATTAGAAATTAATTGGTCTTTTAAAAAGACTTAGTCAAATTGATATGAATTTTGTATGTGTATAATAATACACAAAAATACGCGCGAGACGCCTCATCATATAGATCATCGATTAAGTTTTATTACTTCTATTTGCATAAAATGAACTACATTTGCATTGTATACAACGTTATTGCTATTGGCACGTAATATGTATATAAAGGAAATTCAGTTTGGCTACTTAGTGTTTTTTACAATGGCTCTACGATTATACATTCTAAAAAATTTTTAATGTTAATAATAGAATTTTGTTGAATAAGATATATGCATATATGTATGCATTGTTTTGCAATAGCATGCACATGCATGTTTGATATATTTAAACAAAAAAAGATATGTTTACTGAAATATGCATATAAACAACACAGTGAGGATAAGCGATCCGTTTCACGGTGTATATATAGTCTCTCAACAATGTGTTAATTATGTTCATTATTTGAATTTCTCTCTCTCTCTCTCTCTCTCTCTCTCTCTCTCTCTCTCTCTCTCTCTCTTTCTTTCTTTCTTTCACTCTGTAAGTGTCGATATAGTTCACTTAACAGCTAGGCTGTGTATAAATGCATTTGGCATTGTAATTAAAAGCGTCCGTGAGAAAAGTATGTATGTGTGTCGCCTGTATAAATATGTGAGAGAATGCGTGTACGTACGTACATATGTATGCTTGTACGTATGTACGTCCGTATGTATGTATGTATGTGTATATATATATATATGTGAGTATTAATTATTCACATGAACGATTGTGTAATATACTCGCATTTTATCTGTCGTCGTCATCGTCCTCGTCGTCATTGTCGTCGTTGTTTGTTGTCAGTGAGCGAAGATGATGAAGAAAATAATAATAAGAAAAAATTGATCTAGTCGGGGAGTTTTAATGTCCGATTTATAAATGTTCATTCGTTAAATTATTCCCGTTGTATAAGGACTGATTGACAGACTGCCCTTTCTCTTTCTCTCTCTCTCTCTCTCTCTCTCTCTCTCTCTCTCTCTCTCTCTCTCTCTCTCTCTCTCTCTCTCTCTCTCTCTCTCTCTCTCTCTCTTTTTCATAGATGTGGTTTACAAATTTCTATCGAATTTTCTGCTGCGAACCCTACGTTTATAATCTTATCACGTAATAACGTATTTTGACCGTCTCACCGAATAAATCGTGCCAATATTTTTCTTTCTCCGTCCTCGTTTTAAAGAGAAACGAAACAATAAGGAAACAAAAAGAAAAAAGAAAAAAAAAATAAAAATAGTAATTAATAATAATTAATAATAATAATAATAATAATAATAATAATTAATAATAATAATAATTAATAATAATAATTAATAATAGACCTTTTAATGATGGATAATGAATGAAAATAAAGTATATCACCCTTTTGTTCCTACATTTCTTGTTATTATTATCGTTATTGTTATATCTTTTATCTTTCTTACTCTTATAATACTGAATATAATTTAAAAGCCAGTTAAAAAGATCACGAAGAAATTTATTCGTTCTTTTGTCCTTTCTTGCTTTTTTCTTATTTGCATTTTTTCTTTTCTTTTCTTGTTTCTTGTAATGTCGTTTAGATAGAAGTGGAAGGCCCCCTTTTCTTTTCTTTTTTTATATTATAACCCTCTATAATCCATTATAGTTGAAATTTTTTGTTTTCTATAGAAAAAAAGTTGTCTGATGTGAAGCTCATGTTTATTATTCAAATATATTTGTATTAAATATTTTACTTATGTTAAAAAGAAAATAATACTTGAAATATATTGTTATATAATGAAATTTACCAAGTAAAGAACGAGTCAAAAGTAGCAAAGTGATTTAAAAAAAAATCAATTATTCTTTTTCAAGACTTTTTAACCACTTGCGGTGGAAAGACGTGTCACGCACGTTAAAATGCTTCTGTTACCGGAACGTCAGCGACGTGTTGTTACACGTCGTCAGGCGATTGTTGCAGAAAGAAAAATGACGTGCGTGGCACGTCAACTGTTAATGGAATTTTGGTTGCAAAATGGAAAGACAAGAGAGACATATATGTAATTTCCACGAAACATACAAAAATTGAGATGGTCGAAATGGAAAAAAAGAAATGGAAAAATAATAGTAGCCCTATAATAAAGCCCAACATCATTTTGGAATACAATGAGGGTATGGGTGGAGTGGATCTACAAGACAGTTATTTATCGTCTTTTAAATTAATGAGAAAATATGTTAAAAGTTATGAGAAAATATTTTTTTACATAGTGGATATGGCACTGCTCAATTCTTATATTTTATATTGCAAAAAAAAAAATGGAAATAGCAAAATGTAAAAAGTATTCTTTTTCGAAATTTCGAATCGATGTAGCCGAACAAAATTTTAGAAACTGTATGTCTTCCTGATTACCAAAAACGTGGAAGGATATCTGCTGGAAACGCTCCGGGTCGCTTACATGCGAAGCAATGGGGACATTTCCCAAGAAATATACCGCCTACAAACGCCAAAAAAAATCCACAACGGAGGTGTGTAGTGTGCGCTAAACATAAAAAACGGAGTGAAACTACGTGGGAGTGTAAAAAATGTCTTGTAGCGTTACACATTCCAAGCTGTTTTGAAAAATATCACATTCTGCAAGATTATTAATAAATAAATTTAGTATTCGTACATAATGTAATTTTATCATCATAGTTGATGCGTTTTTATATTCTCTTCTGGAACCCCTTGAACGTTGCCTGAACGCTCCCCGAAGTGATTTGCACTCGACTGTTCTCTGGCACGCGCAACCGTGAATTTCTTTGCACCGCAAGTGGTTAATGTAGCAATTAAGCTCTCTTATGGTTTTATGATTCGAAAAAAGGAATTAGCTTGAAAAAGCATCATGGATATGAAGTTCTGATATGAAGTGACGATTAATTATATATTATCAATTAGAAATTAATTTTTTTTTCTTTTTTAACAGATACATGAGATTTAGTTAAATATGACATGATATTATAGAGGGGTTATACGTGCTTTTTTTTTTCTTTAGATTTTATATTTTAGAACATATAGCTAGATGTGTTTAATTAATTGCTTTCTCTATTCTTGGAACGTTCGAAAGAAACGTAATAATTAATTAATAGATTAAATTGTACAAATTAACACAGTTTAATTGAAATTAATGTTTTAATTACATACGCACATATATATATATATATATATATACACATACACAACACACGCATATTATTAAATATAAATTTATATTTTAACACATTGTTCACCGATCGACGTGGTTAATATACTCGTATTTGCACGTGCACGCAACTTATGCAATTATTAAAATTACGGGATGGACCAAAAATTTCCTGGGCTCTCTTAGTATTCCTACAATTTGAAAAACAAAATTTAGCCTAAAAAAAAATGTTGAAAGATAGTAAAATTGGATTTTTAATATCCAACAAGTTTTTGGCCATTCCTGTGTATTACTATAAAGTGATATTAACACGTTCTGTGCCAAGCCATTTTTGTCTGACTTGTTGTTCAGGCCATTTGATATTTTGACTAAAGATTGATATATTATCACATAATATTTCATTACATCATCAATACATAAGTAATTCTCTTGTTTAGAGTAGTTATCACATCGATTAGTAGATATCAGTTCGATTGCAAAAGTCAGTCGGTTCGAAACTTTTCGATTAGTAAAAAATCTGCTACATTCGAATTTGCTAAATAAAAAACGAGAGAGATAAAATATTTAACAAAAGGAACGAGTAGGTAAATATACGGAGATAACATTTTTTTATTTTTCATTTGTTTCTGTTGGAAAACAAGTTTCTATTATTTACTTTCATTAGGTTATTCTTTCATCTTGTAATTTTTTGAATTGAGCGAGTTCTTCAACTTTCATTTTTTTAGCTCTGATGATGATAGGTAATATGGAAGTACACGACGGAGATAGTTCCAGTTCTATTTCCATTGAAACTGCGACAAACTTTAGAAAACGACATGAAATTAAAAAGACAGCGGGTAAAGCGAGGACAGCTAGACAACGTTGCATTTCTTGCTATAAACAAAATGTAAAAAAATTCGGTACCGAAGTAGCAAGACAAAAAACTATAAGAGTAATGACGTTTTGCAGTGATTGCCCGAAAAAACCGTCATTATGTCTCCCTTGCTTTAACAAAGTCCACCATTAAATGTAATTATTAATTATTGTATATATAACAATTAAATAAACTTATGTGTTTTGTTCTATACTGCATTTTGTATAATGCATCATTTTTTTGGTTGAATGTCATAAAATATATGCTTTCAGCGCATTAAATAAAATATAACTGCGTGTATCACCGGTGGGTACACATGGCACGGAACGTGTTAATTATTAAAATAAATGAATATTGAGCCGGTGTAAACGTATTACATTACTTAGAGCATATTAGCCGGTCTCAACAATGTGTTAAGATATATAAATATATATAATTTAATATAATATAATATAATATAATATATAATATAATATAATATAATATATGTGTGTGTGTGTGTGTGCGCGTTTGTATGTCTGTCTCTTGTCTGTCTCTGTTTTCGCGCATGTGTGCGTAAGAGAAAAACTTAATGGGAAAATTAATATTAATATTTTTGTGGTTATTTCTTTTTTTTTTTATTTTTTTTTTACTTTTTTTTTTATTTTTTTTTTTATTTTTAATTCATCAGCTGGCCTTGCAACATGGCACGTTACCGGTGATCGAAGTAACGCGGGTGGTGTCGTGGGTTCGGTGGCAGGTGCACCAGGGACGACGGACGAAGTTTTTCTTGCAGCCCAGGAGGCCGCCCAGGCCCACCGCGACTCACAAGGTAGGCTCATCTACGGCATTTTTCATCTCTATCTGGCCACCGTAACAATGGGCACTGTGATGATGATAATTGGCCATAACGAGAAAAAGAAAGGGTTTTTTCTTTTTTTTTCTTTTTTTTTTTTTTCTTTTCTATTTTCTTTTAACGATCAGACTACGAAACAGGACCGTCCTCAGGAGGATAATACAAATAAATATTAAAATATCGGATAAAATGAAAATGCAATTCTTATGCAAGAAGATTATAATTCTCAAAACAAAAGACAAAGAAAAAAAATAAAACGAACAGATCAATAATATGACTGCTTTTCACTGAATGAACTACGAATAAATTTTTCTAAGATTTTTCTCATTAAAAAAAAAAAAAAAAAAAAAAAAAAAAAAAAAAAAAAAAAAAAAATTTTTCTACAGAGATATATGTATATATTACCATACGTGTGTTCGTTCGTAAGAGAGTTCATTCGGATTTGAGAAGAGTTGACAAAGTCGGATTAGGTAAAATCAGTAAATAAATTAATAAATAAACAAATAAATAAAAATGAGAGTGCCAATTGCGCAGGTGGGTCAGGATTTTTTTTGTTTTGGAGGGAAAACATCATCATTTTTCCCTCCGCTGTCGGATAACGTGGTACAAACTTAGATTCCGGTATGTTCAAGAGTAGCACGGTCTCTGAAAAAAAAAAAACCAACAAAAATGACTTACATATATGTATATATATATATTCTATATAAATATATATGTATATGTAAATATGAAATATATGATGAATACACACACACACACACAATACAATAAAATATATATATATATATTTCATTGAAGAAAGCTTCCTTGTTTCTTCAATATGTATATATATATATACATGTACACACACACATATACAATTATATAAATACATATATATCTGTTCCTCTGTGACATATATATTACATCCTCTCGTATATATATTATTCTCTTTACGTATATATAATCTCTTGTCTAATTTTCTTTTTTGTTTTTTCTAAATATCCAAACGAGCGACGCCACGGATGCAATCAATGAAAATGTCCGATGAAAGAAAATTTTATTTGAAGGAAGAAAAAAATTCTTTTTTCTCTTTTTTTATATATATATATATATATATAATCATTTTTATTCTATTTCGTGGACATATTTGTTAGAATGTGACGCGACGTCGCTGGTTATAACCCTCTCTCTCCTTCGAAAAGGAAAAATGAAAGAAGAGAGAACACTCGAGCTCTTTCAAAAAGCACAAGCACATTGGACGGAAGACGTTTAAATTCGTTTAGGAAAAAAAAAAAATAATAAGTAAATAAAAAAATTAGAATTTTCATATTTCAATGATTTTTTGTTGTTATTATTATTATACTGGTATTATTAAAAGTAATATTTTAAAATAGCTTAGAAAAGGAGAGATAATCGTTCAAAAATAATAAGATCGAATAAATCAATACAGCGAGATAGCGCAAAAAAATCCCCCCCTCCTAATTATTGTATCAAGCGAGAAATAGAATCACCGGGGTATATAAAATGTTCAAGATTGATTAGAGCGAAATGAGATGAAGGAAAACGAGAACGAGAGAGAGAGAGAGAGAGAGAGAGAGAGAGAGAGAGAGAGAGAGAGAGAGAGAGAGAGAGAGAGAGAGAGAGAGAAAGAGAGAGAAAAAGATAGAGAGAGAGAATGAGAGATCATCTCTGAAAATTAGAGTTGCATAAAATGACGCGAGTTTTCTTCGTTACATACGACATTTAATTTATCGTATGTATTTAGGAAAACAATTTTCTTTCTTTTTCTATTTTTTTTTTTTTTTTTTTTTTTTAATATATAAATAAAAACAGGTTAATGGTGCGAAACTCTCTCGTTGGTGGTCCTTTTCTGTTGAAATGAAATGTTTAAAATTCGTTTTTTAAAAAAATTGGTTACGTATTTCGTGATAATTAATATTATCTGATTATAATGCAGGTATGCAATACCATAATGCAGATTGAAAAAGTTGGTCCAGTCGTCGTCATCATCATCTTCATCGTCATCGTCATCGTCATCTGTGAGGTCTGTTCGACAACTCAAGATATTTTCTTCCATGAGAAGAGAGATAATATTCGAAGATATGATCTTCTACATCTTCATTGCTGCTCCTATATGAGAGATTGCCTTGAAGTTAACAAAAAGCAAGGGCGTGGCTTTCTCCCCCCTCCTCCCTCGTATCTACATCTAGCTGACCTTGGACTCGATAAAACTTGTCGTTTTACTGCAATCGTCATTGACTTCTAACTTTTAGAAGTGACGTTGTAAACATTTTCTTATAGTTACTATCTCTTCCATGGAAATATTTTCAATAATGGCTAACTCGAATTTATCATCTGTCAATTTTTATATCGCAGTAGACTCAACCAATGGTTTATAATTGAATTTCAAGGAATATCCTTTCTTATCATGAAATTTCTTTTCTTGATCAGCAACATTTCCTCTGATCGCAATTATTCCATAACAACAATAACATTAACAAATAATTTATATCTTGTTGGACTTAATTTCAAGTTCCGCAATGTAATTGTTCTATCTAAATCGTATATATCTATTTTTAGATAATGCGCGTGTTTGAGAAGGAATATATAGGTGTGGTGTACATCTATAACAATGGGACCTAATTTTCTTCTTCATGACGATGACAATTCTCTTGATGGTCATCAAACCGTATCGAAGATTGTACCTATATTATTATTATCATCGATTAGACAGCTGTGATTTTTAGCCATTTGGCAACAAAGAAACTGATTCCACATAGGAGGGAGAGAAATACACTGTAGTTTTCAGCTGTCAGCTAATATTCTTATTCTTCTATTTCTTGTACGTTGCATCTGCCAGTAACTAACAGCTGCATCCTTTAACAAGCAGATGTTGGCAGTTTTTCTTTCTTCTTCTTCTTCTTTTTTTTTTTTTTTTTTTTTAAGCTAAACACGCAGTTTTCTTCTAGAGTATATAATAAGACCACTCTGTTATCCTCTTATATTTATTGATTCAATAATATTCGGAGTTTAATAGGACACCATCTTTGAGAGTTGAACATCAGCAATTTTTATTTCTTTTTTCGTGGAATATGGAGGGGGTAGCAGCGACATTTTCGTACACGCGATTTCTTAGCATTTTTCTTACGTTTTAAATAAATAAAATGTTTTCTCTTAATATATTTGTCCTGTGTATAATATATACATATATATATATACACACATGTATGCGTGTATATATATACACACATAGGGAAAAAGATAGAGTAGGTGATTGCCCAGTTACATTGAGGTGATCCAACGTGGGAAGCAAGGTAATTCGGGAGAGAGAGGAGCGATTTTCTCTGTCAATGCTAGCAGCCATGATGCCCGTTAAATAATACCGCATGTCACACTCATCCAACATATTTGTTTAATAAATAACTAAATAATATATTGTGACTGATTTTTGGAAAAAAAAAAGAAACGAAAAAAAAAGAAGAGAATAAAAATTTGTACCGAGGAAAGATCGTACTAATTTAGTGATTAGAAGAAGCACGCTAGGTAGATAAATTAATTGTTATTTTTGTTCATTTATATTGAAAATGAGAGGAGGACGCGTGTATAAAACGGGACGATGCTCGCATTGACGGCGGAGGTCGTTTTTTTCACCGTCAGAGACTTTGTTACCTTGAATAGTTTTACTCTCTAACGCGCGCTCTTGATGATGATGATGATGATGATGATGATGATGATGATGATGACGACAACGACGACTCGACAACACGATGACGGTATTAAAGAAAAATAAATGAATAGAGAGTTAGAAACCTTTGCTATTTTTCTCTCTTATAATTTTTCATCATCGCCAAGTGATCAATCTATCGATCATTTCAAGCTTCGCCTCTTTGATTGAATCATATTCTATTTCACGATACACGTTACGGTACAATAACGATGTAATTTTGATTTATTTTACTTTTTTTTTTTTTTCATTTTCTCCCTTTTTTTGATATATGGAACTTACTTTTTTATTGTTGTTGTTGTTGCTTTAGGCTCCTTGATCTTTTAATTTGTTTTGTTGTTGTCAATTATTTCAATTAAATAATTTACTTCTTCCAATTAGAATTTTTTACTTTCCTTTTTTATTTTTTTTTTTTTTGTGAAAATCGGGTTTGAGATCATGAACGAATAAATAAAAAAAAAGTAAGGGAGATGGAGATAGAGAAAATGAACAAATAGAATACATGATACACGTGCTCAGTATACTATTATTATTACTATTATTATTATTATTATTATTATTATTATTGTAATAATTCGTGCCGTAATAATTAGAACCGGATTTTGTGCCACGTTGTTCGCAGCATGTAGAAAAAAAAGAGAGATAGACGATTCTCTTTTTTAAATGTCCGTTGTGAGAAAAGAGACATGCCCAGGGCAATGGCAAGAAGGTTTTCGAAAGTGTTCATCGCGCGCATCCTGTCTAAAAACCAACAAAAAAAAACAAAAAGAAAGGAACACACGTATGAGAGCAAAAGTTAAATGAGAAAGTATAATCCTTGGGCATGTGCGTGTATTTGTACGCCTTCGATCGTTACTTGCCATTGGACCTGGACGAGATAAACAAAAACCCTTTTCGGATCCCAGAGAAAATAGAAAGAAAAAAAAAACAACAAAGAAAAAGATTACAAAAAAAAAAAAAAAAAAAAAAAAAAAAAGGATGAGATATACACACACTGTCCCCACCACCCCCATTTTGCTATCGTGGGCGTGATTTTTTTTTGCTCGCCAGATTCTTTTCCTTCTTCTTTTTATAGTTTTTTTTTCTATTCTTTGTTTTCAATTACTGTTCACCCATACGTGAACGAAACACTCGTGGAATTCTTTTTTTCTTGACAATGGATTTGTTGAGAGAGAGAGAGAGAGAGAGAGGGAGGGAGAGAGAGAGAGAGTGAGAGGGAGAGCGAGAGAGAGAGTAAGAGAGAGTGAGAAAGTGAGAGAGAGAGAGAGAA